AATGCCTAATTTTGAAAGATGACTAGGTGTGAGCACTAAAACCACAGTAATCCTTAGGGAATTAAAACACCACCATAGTTCACCAATGTGGGATTACTTTAAAAGTCTGTGATAAAAATTTTTTCTTAACTCTTTCTCACAGCAGACCAAATGAGTTCAACAACCTCCATTTCCGAATAGGCACTTTCACTTCCCAACATATGCAGTGAAGCCTATGGTGGCAGAAAGGACCAGTCACATGTCTTGAGAAACAACCCTTCAAAGACCCACACCCATAAATTAAAATCAATGCTGCTTCCTTAGAAAATTTCTACAGATTATTAACAGTACCAAACACTTGAAATTAACAGTAAAGATGTCAATAACATCCCCATTTAAATTACCTTTGGGCTGATGCAGAAGATATATCTTAGAGAATTAGAATGGATTCTCATGTTTTAAATAAGGTAGTATCCTAAATTTTTAGGTAGGGTTCCATATCAGTGACATGGTTGGAGGTTGGGAAGAATAGGGAAATATCAAAGAAGCTATAATTATACTTAGGTAGAAAGAATAAATTCCAGAGGTGCATTAGAGAGGTAGCTGTAGTTAATAGCTAATATAGAGGGTAGACAAATGGGCTCATAGTAATCATAATACAATAAGAGTAATAGTTATGTGAGGTCATATATATGTATTCATTAGCTATATTTAACTAATCCATGATGTATATATACTTCAAAAATTGTCTATTACAGCATATAGACAAAGACCCTAGCACCTGATTTGCACTCATGAACAAGCAAATACTTTCTAAATTTTTACTCGCAATTTTCATTTATTTCTTCAGTGAATATAGGTAGTACATAATGGTCACATTCTTCATGGGCAGATGATATATGTACATGACACATCTCACATCCTCTTTTATTCCCCTTCTCTCCTTGATCTTGCTGCCTCCATTTTATGGTCTCCTTCCCATGTGCAAAAAGTCTACCTCCCTACTTCCTATTATCTAAATTTCATTTTGCTCTTTATTAATATTTAAGGTTTGTCATATAAAAGAAACCATGTAATATTTAAGCTTGTCTGCCTGATTTTTGTCAGTTAAAATTATGGTCTTACAGTGCATTGATTTTCCTACAAGTGACTCAAGTTTATCTTTCTTGCTGCCAGAGTATTACTCCATTGTGTATGAAGGCCCTATTTCTTTGACCACTCATATGTCAATGGCCATATAAGCCTCTTTTATGATTTAGCCATTGATAGCTACACTGGTGTAAACATGGGTATGCATGTAACAATGTATGTGAAGTATTTACCTCTTTCAGAGATACCTAGGAGGGGAATAGCTGGGTTAAGTGAATTTTCTAGTGTTAATTTTTTTAGGAATTTCCATACTTATTACCACAGTGGCTATAATAATTTACTTTCCAAACAACAATGTAGAAAGAAGGGTTCCTTCTCCTCTGTCACTTCACCAGAATTAGTTATTATTTGATTTGTTGATGATTGTCATTCTTTGTAGAGTACAATAGAATCTCAGTATTATTTTAATTTGCATTTCCTGAATGGTCAGGGATGTTGAACACATTTTCATATATTTACTGGCCATTTATACTTATTCTTCTGAGATGTGTTTGTTCATTTCAGTGGCCCATTTTTTGATTGAGTCTTTTCTTTTGTGGAGTCTAATTTTTTTGAGTTCATTATATATTCTGGATATTAGTCCTCTGTCCAAGGAATAGCTGGAATTTTTTTTTCCTGCTCCATAGGTTACCTCTTCACTTTGTGACTTATTCTTTGATGTGCAGAAGCTTTTTAATTTGATATAACCCTACTTGTTGATTCCTTTTATTATTTCTTGTGCAGCTGTGTTCTGTTCAGAATGCCATTGCCTATGCCTATATCTTCAAAAATTTTATTCATTTTATCCTAAAGCAGATTAAAGATTTTTGTTTTAATATTTTGATATTTAATCCATTTTGATTCTAGTTTTGTACCAGTTGAGAGCCATGCGTCTAGATTCAATCTTTTGCATGTGAATATAGCCAATTTTTGTGGTACCATTTGTTACAGAGGCTCTTTCATCTAGCATATGCTTTTGTCCCCTTTGTCAAAGATTGGATAGTTGACAGTACATATACTTGTTTCTGCATCCTTTATTCTTTTTTTTATTTTGTTTATCTTATTGAGTTTATTGGTACATTTTAGGTATACAGTACAGTTACACTCATCATTAGGATCTTGTACTTTACATGACAGGTCTTGATTCTCATTTTTTCCCCTTGTCCCTGTCCTCCCTTCACCCCCTCCACCCTCCCGTATTTACAAAGACTTTTTTCCATTTTTTCCCTTTCTCAAATTTTTTTTCTTGTCTCTTATTTCCTTTCCCCTACCCTTCTCACTTCCCCTACACCTCTAGCCCTTTTTTTCTATATCTGCATCCTTTATTCTGTCCCACTGATCCACATATCTGTTCTTTTGTCATTACTATACTGATATAGTTATCACTATAGCTTTGTAGTATTGCTTGAAGTCTGGAATTGTGATGTCTTCTGCTTTGTTCTTATTGCTCAGCATTGGTTGTGTTATTCTGGGTCCCTTCTGGTTCCATATGAATTTTAGGATTGTTTTCTGTAGGTCTTTCTAGGGGTCTTTTGAGGGATTATTTTGGATCTTATATAGAGAGAATCGTGTCATCTGCAAATGATAATTTGCCTTCTTTCTATACATATCACGTTTCTTTTTGTCTTTTGCCTGTGTCATCTAGCTATTTCAAGTACTTCATTGAACAGTGGTAGTAATAGCAGACATCCTCATCATGTTTACAATTTTAAAAGGAAAGACTTGAGCTTTTCTCCATTTAATATGATTTTGGCAGCAAGTTTGTCATACATAAATAGTTTTATCAAATTGAGCTAAGCTTCTTATATACTTGTTTTCATCAGGGATTTTTATCATGAGTGGATGTTGAATTTTATCAAAGACTTTTCTATGTCAATTGAAATGATAATGTGATTTTTGTTCTTGGTTCTGTTATGTGACATATTACATTTGTTGATTTGAATATATTAAACCATCCCTGCATTCCTGCGGTGAATCCCAGTTGGTCATGATGCAAGATCTTTTCCGTTACTTTTTGCATTCTATTTGCCATATCTTGTTGAGGATTTTTGCATCTATGTTCATTAAAAAAATGGCTTGTAGTTCTCTTTTTTATTTGGGTCATTTTCTGGTTTGAGAATCAGGGCAATGCTGAGTTCCAGGAATAATTTTGGGAGTACTCCTTCCCCTTTAATTTCATTTAAGTCTTTGAGAGATACGAACATTAGATTTTCCCTGAAGACTTTGTAAAATTCAGCAGTAAATCCATTTGGATCTGGGCTTCTCTTAGTTGGTAGATTATTATTATTATTATTATTATTATTATTATTATTACTTCTTCAATTTCATTACATGTTATTGGATTATTTGGGGGTTTCATATCTTTTGTAAGTTTTGGTAATTCATACATATCTGGAAATCTATCCATTTCTTCAGAACTCTCCAATTTATTCAAGTACAAGTTCTCATAGTAGTTACAGATAGTCTCCTGAATTTTGGCAATGTCCATTGTGATTTCACCTTCCTCATTTCTAATTGAAACTGGCTTCACGCATACATTTTTTCCTTTCTTTGGCTATATGTTTAGCTGTTTTGTTTAATCTTAAAAAAAAAACAGCTTTTCAGTTCATTTATTCTTTCTACAGGTTTGGTTTTGTTTTGTTTTTTGGTCTCAGTTTCATTTGATTTCTGAGCATTTTGTTTATTTTATCTATTATCTGTTTAATTATATCTCTTTTGAGCTTGCAATCACTTTCTTGATCTTTTTTATCTTCTCTGTTATCCTTTTGAATAATTTGGCTGTGTGGCTTTTGATTTCTTCCCCTCAGTCCTCCATGGATTGGCCTTGTGGAAGTTATAATTTTGGTTGACATTTAGTTGCTTTGTTTTCTCAACTGTCCATGTTTGTTTTGTTTTGTTTTGTTTTGAGACTTGAAGGCTTTAAAGGTGAAAAGACTTTGTTGTTAGCATGGAGATCTCTTTAGTCAGTATCTGCTTTTCAGGAATGCAGTCTTGGCAAGGCTTATTACAGGCCTTTGCCTCTGTCTCAAGATCCAACCGCCTCCATTAATTTAAGAAGGTATTTTGTCATGTAATTGGCCCAATTCTCTGGGAATGGGATACGTTATTGTTAATGACAAAAAGTTAATTCGGATACTGGCGTATGGACAAAACCTATTAGTAGCAACAACTATGCCACACTGTTAATAGTAAGTAAATAAGCAAATATAGTAACAGTGGAGACAAAGCAGATATTGACATACCATAAAAATCAATAATGCAGTACCCTTAAACATGGAAAAGAGATCAATAGTTATAGTATAAATATCATGACAAATATTGACATATGGTAAATATGTACTAAATGTAACAGCAATACCACCACTAAAAATAGAAAATAATCCAACAGTAACAGCACCTAGTTAACTATGTAAAGATTAATAAAGCTTAGTTGTTTAAAAATGGAGTGGGAAGTGAGAGAATGAAAGAAGAAAAATATTTTTAAAATCAAATAATGGAAGATAAGAATGAGGAGAGAGAAATGAGATAAATGATCCTATTAAAGAGTAGAAGGAAGGGCTGGGGATTTGGCTCAGTGGTTTAGCCACTTGCCTCACAAGTGCAAGTTCCTGTGACCAGTCCCAAATTTGATTCCAAATACCAAAAAAAAAAAAAAAATTAGAAAGAAACTAATAGATTTATATAAAGGTACTAAAAAGAAAAAATGAAGAAAGGAATGAAAACATTAAGAAAAGGAAACATTAAAAGGAAGAGGATTAAAAAAAACAGAAAAACAAGGAAAAGGAAAATTACCCAATTCTTTCCAAAAGAATATATATCATCAAATTCACAAGGGCTTGATTATTTTGTGGAGGTGGAGAGCCAAAAGAGAAGACTGTTAGGATTTGACTTACTTTATAAATATACACAGCGTTGCTCCATTGAGACTTCAGACTTTGAAGACTAACTTCAAAGCTGCAGTCTTAGTCACTGTGCCAAGCTTTCCTCCTCCACATGCTTCCATTTTTACAGTGCTCTGTGTGTAATGGAAAAATTGAGAGTAGATATGAAGTGTTAATTTTCTCAGGTCTTCACAACATTGTCAACTTCCTCATTCAGGTCTACCTTTCAGTCATCCTACCAAAAAGTTGTAGTGAGAGAGCCAGAGGAGGAAAATTACTACCCTCCACCAAAATCCGACAATTATTTGAGAACTACATATTCTTGTTCTATCTTTACTTGTACATCTTTTTTTCACGAACTAGACAATGGCCGATGGAAAGAAATGAATTATAAAATTGCTTTATTAACTTCTAACCTCATTGGTCACTTCTTACCAGTCCAATTCAGTAGTTATCATTTATCTTCCTAAATTTTCATTGTTGAGGGTGGTGACAGGGAACTCACTTTACCATATGCTCTCTATGGAATTTCACTCCACAGAAAGGTTTTAAATTTCACATGGTAATTTCCAGATGTAAATCTCTCAACTCCACATGAACTACAAACTCATAGCAGTTTCTGATCACTTCTGTGAATCTAAATTCTTGTATTCAATTTTTCCTGACGTCTTATTTTACATGTGTAAAAGACATTTCAAACATAATGTCTAAAAGATTATTGACTTCCTGTCTCAAAATCTATTCTTTCTCTACAGATCCCATCTCAATATGAGGCACTACTATCTACTTCTTTGCTCCTGATGCATCTCCTTCCTTTATACATAATGTCCAGTTCCTCAGAAAGCCAATTCACTTGTAATTAACTCTTCAAATTATATCCTGAAGTTGAAATTTCAAAATATTACTGTCAGGAGAAAATTATTCACCCACTATCACCTTTCACCATAACCGTAGCAATGCCATACCTAACTGCTTTTTTTGTCTTACACTCTTGCCCATAACAGTTCATTTCCATTCAATAACCAGAGCCATCAGTTAAAAATAAATCAGAAAGGCGATAATCATAAAAAAAGACAGGTCTGTGTGGGTGAATGTGTAAAACAACAGGAAGTCACACATTGCTACATGAGAATGCCAGATGGTACAGCCACATAGAAAAGCAATTTGCTCTTACTTACACACGTCCAACGACAGTAGTTCTATTTCTAGGAGTTTGTCCCAGTGAAATGAGACCAATATTCATGCAAAAACCTATATGTAGATGTCTACAGAAGATTACTTTAAAATGTGTGTGGGGGAGAGGGGAGGCTTGGGAAAGTATGAGGAAGAGATAAATTGTGGTATATCCATTCAATAGCAATAAAAACTCAACTCAGCAATCGAAAGGATCAAATTATTGATATAGTCAACCATATGGAAGGATCTCAAGTGCATCATTTAAGCAAAAGAAGAGAATAAAAAACATAATACATGATTGTATTTATGTGATATTCTTAAAAGACAAAACCATAGTGATAGAAAATAAATTCCATGTGGATGAAGGTAATTATAAATGGATATCAATTGATTATTTTGGGTAATGGAGTCATTGCATATTTTTGTTGTGGTGATAATTACACAATTACATGTGTATAACAAAATAAAACTGTACATACTTTTTATTGTTTTATTTTATTTTTTTTGAAGGATTGGAGATTGAACTCTAGGGAGCACAGAGCTATATATACTTTTCCTTTTATTTTTTAAATGGAGACAGGGTCTTGTTAAGTTTCCCAGGTAGGTCTCCAACTTGTGATCCTCCTGGCTCAGCCTCCTGAGTAGCTGAGATTACAGGTATATACCACCACAGCCAGCAAAAAGATGTACACTTTTTTAAGATGGTAAATTTAGAGCTTTCGGTGGAAGGCTTGCCTATCCTGTGTTAAACAGAGAGAGAGAGAGAGAGAGAGAGAGAGAGAGAGAGGAGAAGGAAAGGGAGAGAGAGGAGACAAGAAGAAGAAAAAGAAGAAGAGGAGGAGGAGGAGAAGAGGAAGAGGAAGGAGAGGAACAGGAGGAAGAGGAGAGAGAGAAATCTTCATATAGTCTATATCTTAATTTGTAATGAAAATAATAACATTAATCTTTTCTGTTCAATTCCCTATCTAAAACACTGCAATGACTTCTCATCAGACAAAATCCAACTCTAACCACATCGTGTTCTGATAAGATGCTAAGTAAATTTTCACCTTAGAACATTGACTTTTGCTTCTTCCATTGGAAAAGCTCTTTCCTAGATCTCATAGCTCACTACTTAATGAATCTGGGTTTTTTGCTTCAATATTCTCTTCGGCCTTTTAAAATGAACACCAACTTTTAATTCTGTTTTTGCTCCTGTTTTTCCATATTACTTAACATGATTTAATTCTGATTTGCTAATGAACTTCTTTATCCAACTGGAATGGAAGTTCCACTAGAAAATAGACTTACTATGCTTTGATGACTGCCATTTTTCTTCAGAACCTTGAAAACACATTGTTGTATGTCAATATTTTGTTGAAAATATGTTGAATATATTGATGACTTGTGTAGAGGCTAGATAATTGCACCAGGTATTTTTCCAGATACCTACAAAATAACTTGAACTACCATGCACTAGCTTCTTCTTTTTTTTTTTTTTTTTTTTTTTTCTTCTTTTCCCAATACCAGGGATCAAACTCAGGACCTTGCGCTTGTGAGGCAGGCACAGCACCACTGAGCTAAATCCCTGGCCAGTGGCATGCACAATCTTATCTGCTTCCTGTAGGATCACCATAGAATCAAGCTAAGCATGAAACCTTTTTCACTTACTGAAACAACTAGCATAATTATTTGGGACTATAGAAAGAATTATTTGGAAAGATTTGTGGCTCAAATGGCAGAACTGTAACATAAGATCACAGCCTTTTAAAATGTTTTGTCACTGCCAAAACACAAAAATGAGAGCATGACTGATTTATCTTATGGAACTGTTCAGATGAATAATAAATTACACTTTTAAAAAAATGAAGCACCATTTCAGTTTTCCCTTCAGTTTTTGTTTTCTTTGCTTCTATGATTAGGTTGCTCAGATTCAGTGATTATGATATAATTCGGTTGTAGATAATAATGACTGACATGTGCACACAAGCATAGACTTAAAAAATTTAAGCATTGCCAAGATGTGTAAGAGTGTTACAGAGGTCATAACGTACATACAACTAACACTCCGAGAGTAATTCTAACTCAAAATTGCATTTATAACCTTAGGAATCCATAACTTTTAAACAAATTTACCAAATTCTGGACAAATGGAGATAGATAAGTTGGAAAATGGTATATAATTAAATTAAAATTGGCATAAGGAAGAGAAAAAAAATACCCTGTAACTGGTAAATTGCATTGTCGGTCTGTAGATGATGGTGCTAAGTGGGCAAAATTGCTAACAATAAGTTCAAATTAGACTGAATACTTCTTTTTTTCTCCAAACTATTAGATTACTCATCAACTCTTTTATTTAATAAGGGAGCAAAAGGAAACAACAGCTGATATGAATTATCAAAAGCTCTGAATTGCCAGTACAGCCCCAATAATTAGATCTTATTGAGGATAAAGCCAATAATTGAATATTGAAAACTGTCCCTTCCATCCACTCTTGAAGATAAAAAGGTTGGATGTAATTGGCTAAGCTTAGTCATAACCTGGGAAAACCTGAAGAATATCAGAGAATAAAAACAATCCTATAAATAATATAAAAGATTGCAATTTCCAAATTCATTGCTTGCTAACATCCAATTAACTGGCAAGAATTTAGATCTCCAGGTATCTTCTCTGAATCAAGGGCAAAAAAAGGAAAGACTGCTTTCATTTCTTTTAATATTTATTTACTTCTCCACCCAAGAATGCATTTATTTCTAAATAGGGTTATAATATTATTGAAGCCAGACATCTGAAAAACCTTGAATATTATAATCAAAATACCTTTTTCAATGATGATTTCAATTATTTTTTTTTTTATAATTTAGGGCTTTTTGGGGATTCTGGATGCTACAACCCAGATCTGTTTTCCACATTGGGTGGGAGACATTTACCTTATCACTGGCTTTTGTAATTCCACCATCTTGGTTATTATTACCAAAAACATATATACCCTTAGGTCCAGGTCAAATTTCTTCCCAAGCCAAATCAACTTTATATTCTCTATCCCTTTGACTGTTTTGAAATCTCTGTGGGAGTCACTTTTAAAATGACCTCTGTCATGGCTAATCTCTTTATAGGTAATATCTTATCTAACCTTCAGACTCCAGGGCAGAAATTACTTAAAGATAGAAAAACTGATCATTAGGAAGTTGTAACATTTTCAGAAAAATCCAGCCAAATATAAACAAACACAGAATTTAAATGCAGCTGTGCCTGCATCGTCCCTTCATTTCATGATTTCATATGCCAAATTTAGACTCAATTAACAAAGTAATAATCAGTAATTAAGCAGCTCCTGGCTCTAGTTTAAGGAAGACTTTTAAAGAACTGGCTCTTTTGCTTCTTGTAGTTCTATCTAATTCCATTCTTGTTCATATGCTCACCCACAGTTAACAAGAAGCTTTTAATCCATGAAACCTATAACATTGGTTGCTAATAGAGTTTCACTTGCTTTAACTACGTTTACAAGGTTCCAATCTTTACTTTTCTTTGTCAGGCACATCAGTGGATTAATGCACAGTTGTTGAACTTCATTCTCCTGTTTCAGCTTCAAAGGTCAACCATGCAGTTTTATCTCAATAAGAGCTTGAGAAGTTAGTTGGCATTCTAGCCTTGGAAAAATTCTAACTCAGTATAAAGAAAAAAGTGCTCCAAGAGTGGAGGGACAAAATCAGATCAAAGTGATTTAATGAGTGGTAAAAATAAAAGCACTGATCCTCTATGCTGGATTTGTCCTCAAATGCTCCTGATATAGAATCTCAAAGCTGGAAAAAGAAATTTAATATCATGTACCTATCTCATTTTACAGGTAGGAAACTTGGATCGGAGTTCATGGACAGTCTGTAAACCATTACAATCCCCATGTCAGACAGTTCTCATGGGTAGTAAGTGAAGAACTCTAGAACAGGTATATGCAGCACTGTTTCCATGTCTAAAAGTA